ATCTGGAGAGTGAATGTTTAAAGATAATAATCTCTTTGGTTTATGGTGAGGCTTTTCTAAAGTCATGGATTGGATCATTTTTCAGTTGCCAGTTTAAAGTGAGAGGTCAGGGCTTCAAGGGGTTGAACAATTACTCCTTTTTCTAGGGGGAAGGAAAGCTCCTTGCATTACGTTTTCATATAGTCCAAGTGGTGGAGTAGATTTTTCTTTCACCTCTTTCTTGGCATGCCAATATTTACAGGAACTGATTTTGTTCCCTTTATTCTACTCAGGTAGAATGCTTAAAGGACAGTGTTTTGTATTTAAAGCTGTGCTTTTCAGCTTTTGAAGAATTGTGACCATTTCAGGGATGGAAAGGATACCTGTTATTGATAGGGTTTGCTTATACTATGAATTTACAGTTGAGAGTTCTTTAAAGGATGCAGTAAGATGCAGTAAGTTAAAGATTTATGATAGTTAAGCAAAGTGTGTCTCTCTAACAGAAAGATGCCTAACTAAACTTTGCAAAATATGCAGCCACCCAGCTCTCAGGCCGCAGGGAGTGCCAGAGGCTGTAACTGGGGGTGTATGGCAGTAGGGAGAACAGCTGTGTGAGGTGTGACCAGGTGGATGATCTGCTCAGCCTGGTGGCAGCGCTACGAGAGGAAGAAGAAAGGTTAAAGGAACGTCAGGGAGGCTGAGAAAGAGATAGACTGGTGGAGCCACGCTCTGCCCTGCCTGAAACAGAAACAGGGACAGCCACCAGACAAAACCCAAGATCAAGGGGACCCTGTATCCTTACCCTGCCAGGATGAAGGCAGCAGCTTGAAGGAAAGGAGCGAATGGAGGCAAGTTCACGCTCAGGGTGGCAGGCAAACCTCCTTGCCCATCTCACTCTCCCAGGTGCCTCTGTACAACAGGTATGAGGCTTTGGCTGTGGAAGGCCAGTCAAAGGATGACATGGATGATGGTCCATCTACACCACAGGTGTCGCCAAGGTCAGGAAGGTCCACACACTGTATCACAACCACCTCCACAAGGAAGAAAAGGCGGGTTATAGTTGTAGGAACTCCCTTCTGAGGGGTGCAAAGGATCCAGTATGCCGGACAGACCCTCTTAGGGAAGTCTGCTGCCTCCCTGGGGCCTGGGTTAAGGACATGACTAGGAAATTTCATAGGCTGGTATGGCCCTCGGACTATTACCCACTCTCACATGTGAGTGGTGATGAAGCTGCAACACATAATCCAAGAGCGATCAAAAGAGACTTCGGGGCCTTGGGACAGTTGCTGAGGGAATGTGGTGCACAGGTGGTTTTTTCCTCTCTCCTTCCAGTTGCAGGCAGTGACATTGGGGGAAACAGGTGGACCCAGTCTATCAATACATGGCTCTGTGGCTGGTGTCACTGCCACAATTTTGGATTTTTCAATAATAGGATGCTCTACACAGCACCAGGCTTGCTGGCATCACACGGGATTCACCTTTCTCAAAGGGGAGACTTTGCCCAGGAGCTTGACAGTGCTTTAAACTAGGCTTGAAGGGCGAGGGGAATAATATCAAGCTTGTCTGCGAAAAGCTGTGGGAAAAACAAAAACACAAAAAGGAAGCCTACAGAGGATGGAAGCAAGGGCAGGTAGCCTAGAAGGAATACAGAGAAATTGTCTGAGCAGCCAGGGATCAGGTTAGGAAAGCCAAAGCCCTGATAGAGTTAAATCTGGCCAGGGAGATCAAGGGCAACAAGAAAAGCTTCTATAGGTACGTCAGTGATAAAAGGAAGGCTACGGAAAATGTGGGCCCCCTCTGGGTTACCCGGGATCTAGAGAAGGCTGAGGTACTCAACAAATTTTTTGCCTCAGTCTTCACGGGCAAGTGTTGTAGCCGCACTGCCCAAGCCTCAGAAGGCAAAGGCAGGGACTGGGAGAATGAAGAACCGCCCACTGTAGGAGATGATCAGATTCAAGACCATCTAAGGAACCTGAAGATGCACAAGTTCATTGGACCCGATGACATGCATCTGCAGGTCTTGAGGGAGCTGGTGGATGAAGTGGCCAGGCGCCTCTCCATCATATTTGAGAAGTCGTGGCAGTCCGGTGAAGTTCCCACTGACTGGAAAAGGGAAAACATAACCCCCATTTTTAAAAAGGGAAAAAGGAAGACCCAGGGAACTACAGGCCAGTCAGTCCTACCTCTGTGCCTGGCAAGATCATGAAGCAGATCTTCCTGGAAGCTATGCTCAGGCACATGGAAAATAAGGAGGTGATTGGTGACAGCCAACGTGACTTCACTAAGGGCAAATTTTGCCTGACAAATTTGGTGGCCTTTGATGATGGGGTTACAGTGTTTGTTGGAAGAGCAACTGACATCATCTGCCTGGACTTGTGCAAAGCATTTGACACTCTCCTGCATGACATCCTTGTCTCTAAATTGGAGAGGCGTGGATTTGACAGATGGATGACTTAGTAGATAAGGAATTGGCTGGATGGTCGCACTCAAAGAGTTGTTGTCAACGACTCAATGTCCAAGGGAAGACCAGTGACAAGTGACATTCCTCAGGGGTCAGTACTGGGGCTGGCACTGTTTAACATCTTTGTCAGTAACGTGGACCGTGGAACTGAATGCACCCTCAGCAAGTTTGCTGATGACACCAAGCTGTGTGATGCGGTCGACACATTGGAGGGAAAGGGTGCCGTCCAGAGGGACCTTGACAGGCTGGAGAGTTGGGTCTGTGTGAACTCATGAAGTTCAACAAGGCCAAGTGCAAGGTCCTGCATATGGGTCAGGGCAGTCCCAAGCACAACAACAGACTGGACAGAGAATGGATTAAGAGCAGCCCTGAGGAGAAGGACTTGGGGTGTTGGTGGATGAGAAGCTCAACATGAGCCGGCAGTGTG